GATTAAAATCGCGCCCAAGGTGGTTCAACCGAAATTTAAAAACAAAACCGTAGAGGATACGCTCGGCGCCCTGTATGGGAGCGTGTGGTAAAATGTTTTACCGCACGCTCCGTTGCATGACCCATAACTTTGAATTTACGAACAAGGTATACAACCTCAAATGTCTTAATAAGCGAATAATTCTTCGCCTGTCATACATAATAATGTATCATTTTAAAAATATTACATTTTAAGTTAAAATACAACGATTAATAGTAACCAATGTAGTCAGACCAGACTCATCTCCGCTGGCAGCACCCGTCCACGAGCATGACGCATGAACCAGCCATCGCTTCGCCCAACCATTTGTTAGGGAACGTAACGACCCGCTTCACGCCGATGAGATTTTTAAGAGAGCATGACGGGACGGAATCATATGTGGATATTATGATAGACACATATGTTGTGGTCATCCTATTGTCCACAATAACTTTAGAAATGACCCTTTATTTTTCTATTCTGCAGATATAAGATAACTGCGTGAGAAAGTTGATTGTGATATCAATCAATCCAAGTTAATATTTAGACCGGATATTTTTACGTGTAAACATTGCATAAGGTGTTTAGTATGCTAAAACTTCTTAAAACAATGATTATTATCTTCTTATCAGTTTCAATGTATCTTTAATGAACGGTAGGCTTATCTGATAATGCCTTAGTTGTCATTAAATCCTTTCTCGTAAAATTAAGTTTGATCGATGACTGTGTTTGAAGTGAAACTTCTTTACGCACGCTTGACTTGGGGGGTAAGCTGGCAAATGCGTTACGCGGTACGAAAAGTGTGTTCGGGTGAGACGAACGGGATTTGAGTGGGGGATAAAAGCAAGAGAAAGCAGTGCGGGCGCACATTTTCTTTCTCTCTTCCGCTTATAGCAAATGAAAATAATAGTATAAATGAAATATGTATGTTCATACATGTATATATTGTACACACACACACACATACAAAGGTTCGGTTTATATTTATATATATATATATATATACATACAAATGGAGCTAAAGAGGTTTCACTTCAGTCGTGGGGTCATAAGCACACTCCTTTTTTATGCCAAACTATACTTCGGTTTCTTTTCTTGTTTATGCAAGCAAACAAGCTGGCAGTTCAGCAGATGGTAAGTGGTCACTGCCGCTCATTGACACTTGTAGCCTCAGATTACAGAACAAAAGGCAGATGGAGCGCACGGAACACGCAAATGACCCCACTAAAGCAAATACGAAGTCAAAAGTAAAGACATTTTGTTGTCTTTGTGAACTAAAGGCAGATGGAGTGCACGGAAGACGCAAATGACCCCACTAAAGCAAATACGAAGTCAAAAGTAAAGACATTTGTTTGTCTTTGTGAACTAAAGGCAGCTGGAGCACACGGAACCCACAAATGACCACACTAAAGCTAATACGAAGAGTAAAGATTTTTTTGTCTCTGTGAACTAAATGTAGATGAAGCGCACGGAACACGCAAATAACCCTATAATAATAATAAAAGTAGTTCATTTTTATTGTAAGCGAGAATGATGTACACACCTTATCGCCGTTTGTGAGTTCCCCTACCCTTATTTGTGAGTGTAAGATTCGTGTTTCTCGCTAGTTTTAATGTCGTCAATATTGACATTTCTAATTGTCAATATGTCTCTGTATACCTCAGATCAGAGTACGATCTATATAGTCGTAACAGAATTATTTACCATTTGAAAAATAAGCAGCTACGTGTGTACTGCCTGCACCTACATAAAGGTTTCATTCGTAATGTTAGTATTGACACGGTTTTATTTAAATAATAAACAAAAGCAAAGCATTATAATAATTTAACGATTCTCGTTTTATATCTTACTCTTAATTAACTACTTCAGTACCTACAGTCGGTTTTTTTATATATTTTACTTTAAAAATGCAAAAAAAAAATTAAAAAAAAATTTACTAAAGCAAATACGAAGTCTAAAGTAAAGACATTTTGCTGTCTTTATGAACTAAAGGCAGATGGAGCGCACGGAACACACAATGCTTGGCACCATACACAGACAGTAGATACAAAGTCGAAAACGAATATCAATTCGCGTTAGTACACTAAAAAATGTAAACAACCTAATAACTTAAAAAATGGTTGCCTGTAAAGTCGGTTTTACGGGCGAAGATTTTACGTGACAACGTCTTTTTCTCGGTAGAATATTTATTGATATGAATATAATTAAATTGCACAATAGGAACAAGGAATTGAATGAAAATAAGAATTGCACAAATTTTAACTATAGAAATATATTTTGTTTACTAAAACATTGTACATGTAAACTTAAACTTAACACGAGAGACTCATCGTAACGTTACCGAGCGTTACACTTTTTCATAAGTGACTCCCAGCCGCAACCTAATTTAAGACGTTGTCACGTCAAAAAACTTAATATTCACTGAAAGTAGTCATAACAGAATACGTTATAGTGTAATTGATATTCGTTTTCGACTTTAAAGCCTGCTTGCACCAAAGGTGTGACTAAAATCCCTGATTCAAATAAGAAAAATCATTTCATTTTTGTGAGGAACCTAACTGTTCAATTCAAAAGTTAGAATGACGCTATGATTAACTTTTAAATTTGATATAAGAACTTTGGCGCAACTTGTATTTTGATCTAAATTCTCTCATTCGGTAGGTAATATGATAAATAAATCTTATTGATCATAATAAATACTGTTAAACTAGCTGTTCTTTATGGATCTAGAAATAATAAGTCAGCCTTTCATCAGATTTGTTTTTTTTTATTTTTTTATTTAATCTATAATCTCTTAAACTTGTTTTCATAGTGTCTGGCATCCACATGTCAAAAAGAGAACCAGTTGAAAACCAGCGTCAATGCAAACTGGGTCCTTTTCAGTGCAGCTGCGGATACAAGATATGTAATGTATGTTTTATGTTGTACGTCATTAATTGTCCTTCTATATATATATATATGTCTGTGTACAAGTTTGACCCTTTATAATAATAATAAAAATAACCGAATAAATGTTTCTTCTTATTTTGATTTGAATTGACTCTCTATTTTCCAGATATTAATTCAAATAAAGATAATTCGCATTCTGTAACAAATTTTGCATGCTATCCAAATGCTATCAGTAGGCTCGCCATTTTCAATTTTGTTATTTAATTCCCTGAGTTACGTGCGTATATAATAAAAAACCCAAATCACAAAATGGTACAGAAGGTAATCTACATACAAAGTGCCCGCGAGCAATACAACACAACGCACCCATAGACACACGACATCGACACGATATCTCGGACCACTTCGAGTGCGAGTTCAATCCGCTTGAGACACGCGTTAGTAACAAAAAAAGTTACACACTGTTGTCTGAATTCAATACTAAACGGTGAATTGTCTTTTTTTTTAATTTGTACTAATATAACTGTTTCATTTTCAAGAATAAATCAAACAAGTAGATAAGTACGAGTTCCACTACCATATTTTTTTGTGCACAACCCAAAGTTGACAATCTTAGCGCGACCGCCGCGTATAAAAAATATGTATAAAAAGTGAAGTACTTAGGTACATTAGATTGAAATGAAATGAAATGTAATGAAAACCTTTAGATTATATAACTAGGAAAAAAGCCACATAAATCCAGCGCAGACCAGGCAGCAGACGGGACTCGAACCCGCACCCTTCGCAATTAGTATAGCACACTCACACCAATTAGCCTATCCCCAAAGTAAGCTCTGTAATCTGTAAGGCTATGGGAGGCTATGCTAGTGTTACGGGTAGAATACATCAGAAATATGTATAAACATCCATGACGAAGGTACAAAATGCTTGTATTCATCATACTAACATTTGCCCCTACCGGGATTCAAAACCGGAACCTCTGAGTAGGCGACGCCATGAAACCTGACGTATATACCACTCGTAAATAGTAAATCAGAAGTGATAACTTAAACTATCCTTTTTTGTGCACAGGAAATTGGTAGGTGAAAAGGGGAGTGTAGGGTAAAATGGGATTGGAGGCTGAAAAGAGGATAGGAGGGTGTAAAGGGGCTTCGAGGGTGATAATAAGGGATTGGTGGGTGATAGTAAGTATTGGCGGGTGATTATAGGGGATTGGTGGGTGATAGTGGGGATTGCTGGGTGAGGGAGTGGAGTGGGTCTGGGGATATCCCTCTGGTTGCCGGGCTGTGGCGTCTACCTCCTTGGGCGAGCGGGCACGGCGAAGGGAAGCCAGACCAACTGACACCGTAACGCTCACTAACTAGCTAACTCAAAACCTAAATAATGTCTGCTGGGAGCTGGGGCACAGTGTAGAAGTAAAACTTCCCTCCGCCGGCGCCGCTACTGCCTCTCACCGCGCGATATCGTCTACCCCCTCCACGCGGCCGTAACTTTTTTTCGTGACAGCAATATCCTCGTCTATATGGAAGTTTTACTACAATAGGTCAGTAACGAATGGCTTTATATGATATCTGCCACCCCTAGCAAATAGTTCCCCCTCGCAACCTTTTTTTTAGTTATAATTTTAATTTTAAACATGCAACTGCTTGATGTTTAAATCTAAAGAAAATATAACTAGAAAAAAATCCACGCGGACCAGGCAGCAGACAGGACTCGAAAACACCGCACCCTTCGCAATCCGGGCGAATGCACTGACGCTGACCAATTATGCTACCGCGGCCCTGACGGCCGCGTCGAAATTCCTCTAGCCATTCTTAAGCAGCAAGGCAGCTTATGGATACTTCATGTTAAAACTTTCGGTTTTGGCGATTGACGAAGAAGTACAAACAAGCTATTACTCCGTTAGTATTCAATAAAGTAGTATTTTAAAAGTATTCTGTTTGTTTTTTATAAACTTAAACTTTACTCCGAATGACTCTCTCTGAATGAATTAAACCGACTGAAAACGTGCCATTCCACTCGAATCGAATATGTAAGTTGAAAAGCTTATTTGCAAAACATTTTTCGAATAATGTTGCGTAGAATTAGTCAGTCTATCCATTCCCATTCTCATTTTTAATAAAATATTTTTCATCCCCGTGAAGGGGATCGTCCACTCCCAGGGTAAAAGCGACCCTCGGCACATTTACCACTTTGAAGTAAAGGGTAAGTAGAACCTACAGCCAAATTTTAATGCTAATCGAGGCTGTGAGGTAGAATTGCTAGGGAAAACCCGTGCATTGACTGGACTATTATTCGGGTGTGCATTTTTGTGTTTTTCATACATACTAATATTATGATCATACGACAAAATACAATTTGACATTAGAAAGTTACTAGTAAACACCTACTTAAACTTAGTTCATCCAAGTGAAAGGTTTTAATAGCTTCCTTCAATATTGTAAATTGGACAACTAATGATTCTAAGGCACCTCACGCACTAGACGGCCGGTCGTTGTCATGGCCTCAATCACAGAACACAGGAACACAGGCCTTAAGGGCGAGACAGGCTCACCTCATTGATGTATGAGCAAATGCTCATAACTTGGCCAAAACTTGATTCTGATTGCGTCGTTGCTCTAGGGTGAGCTGATTGGTTCTATTGTTTGATGTTGCGTCGTTTGATTGGCTTTTATTTATGTATTTTAATCTTTATTGACCAAAATACAAGAGAATGGTACAAAAGGCATTGTGTTTTATCTAGTAGGTGGAAGTGTAGTGGGGGCGAACTGGCGACATCGGTTCCCGTACAAACGGTTTATGATCAATCACCCCTCTAACCACTTTCTGTGTTCTGTGGCCTCAACGTTGGCCGTAAAAAGATACGGTTGAGCTGCGGCAAAGTTTGCGGCCACGACCACGACTGGCCGTTAAGTGGTCACAGTGCTGATGGTTTCTTTATTTCATTCATAATCATAATCATTTATTTAGTTTAGGCTGTTACAAGCTCTCATGAATGTCTAGAAGCTACGCCATCGGTTTGTAAATCTACGGCGGGAGACCTTGTACTGAGAAAAACCGGCAAGAAACTGCGCAAGGGCTGTTTTTTTTCTCCCTGTTTTATTATTTACAGAGTCGGCAAGTTGAAAAATTACTTCAAAGATGAATCATGAAGTCAGCTTTCATTACATAATGTGAAATTATACATTAATTGTTCAATTGCATTTTGTTTGCTGTGTCATACAATATAAATACAAATAGTGTGATTTATATTAGGTGCAACTAGACATTTACATCTTAAATATCAAAGTAGTTAGGGCAGACTCATCTCCGCTGGCAGCACCCGTTCACGAGCATGACGCATGAATCGCTTCGCTGGTTGAGTTGTTGAATTTAGGGAACGTAACGACCTACTTCACATGATAACCATTAATAAAAGACTTGGTAAAAACTTGTTGTAGAAAAAAACGTCGTATTGAGTTACGTCGTGATTACGTCGATATGAAGCGTGTTCACTCGCGATCTATCCGCATGACACTGAGAATTGCTGGTCGCGGCCCGGCCCTATTCGCGGTCGCAGATCTCGTGCGCGAGCGCTCATAGCAAACTTTACGTAAGTTCGTCGTAACGACCAGTCATGCTGGCCCGGTGTGCGGCTAGTGAGACGTTGCGGTCGTCCATGCGCGACGTTTTTATGCTTTTTCTAGTTAATTTGGTCGTTGCGGCCAATGGTCGTGGTCGTGGCCGTATCGTGCGAGAGGTGCCTAAGAACGCACCATCTCGTATCTCTATCTATAACAATAAACTAAAACCTAGATAGCATAGAGTTAGATAAATTCCATTTACTTTTACAAAAAGACTGTTCTGATTTTGACCTACTGTTAACAATGTGTAATGATAGTTTTTTCTTCTTATTTCAGAGTGACAATTCATTCATGATGATTTAAAATACTTCATTAGAATTATAATGGGGTTGGTATGTAACGAATTCGTGTTTTAGGGTTCAATAGTACAAAAGAAATCCATTATTGGATGGATATATATATATCACCACATATTGAGGTCAAATACATTTCCTCCAAGGCTATCTCTGCCATTTCAGCAAATTTATAAAGGAATGTTTGATGCGCAAAAAACCTTAATATTACATATAATTACCTACTTTGACATTATTAATATACAAAAAAGGAGGATACATTTTTCTATACTAATATTATAAAGAGGTAAGATTTGATTGTTTGTTTGTATTGAATAGGTTTCTAAGCTACTGGACCGATTTGAAAAATTCTTTCGTATTTAGAATCCTAATTAGCGTTTAAATGAAATCCTGCGTGCGCTCAACATATTAAAAGTCATAGAAAAAAAAATGTTATTAATACGGAATGAATTTCAACAAAATGTTAATTTTTATAATATTATGGAAATATTCAAGTAAGGAAAGCGGTTCTCAATTCCCAAAGTTTTTTCTGCAAGTTTTTTTAAGGTTAAATAAAAAAGATTTAAAAAAAATTGAGTTTGAATTATTTGGTTCCTTTCGTCTTTCGTTTACCTACTTAAAGACTAGGATGCCTTTGAAAATCGTAAAAAGCGAATATTTTTCGGAACAAGATGAAACCCATACCAAGAATTGCGGGCGATTTGAGGTCGGGAAGGGTGACCTTTAAAGGAATGATAACGGTATATTATCGCGAATTTCGAGAAAACTATAACTATCCAAAAAAATATGGCAAATTTATAGGTTATGTAATCAAAAGATCTACTCACAACTACTATTTTTAAATAACCTAAAAATACAACCTGCAAAAATCAAAATAACCCACATTTTTATTTTTTACTGTTATCCCACAAAAAAACGTAGATTTCTTTTCCTTAAACCATTTCCAGAAGAATTGTGATGACGCATTTGCATTTTCTGTGAAAATTTTCCATAGTCATGTATATTTTTTGTATCCCATTAGAAAGAAGAATTTCAAAAGAACAAAATCACACCAAATTTATTTAAAAAAAAACTACTTTTAAAGTCTTTAAAATTGTTAACTTGAAAATAAGGTTAATTTTTCGATATAATATCAATATAGCGAAAAAATCTATTAAGAATCGAAAAAATTAGAGCGTAAACATATAAAGGTAAATTTTCGCCAAATTATGAAAAGAAAATGTTTGTAGGACGTAATGATAAAAAACCAAGAATGTGAAAAAAATTAAAATTGTAGATCTGTTTATTAACTTGCCGTGATTATTTTCTTCAAAGGATGTAGATTTTGTGAAAAATCGCAATGAAGGGTTTCCCTCTTTTTAAATCACCCCTATTCCTTCCCGACCTCAAATCGCCCGTAATTTATATTTTCTCTTTATTTCAATGTGTTCTCTTAATTCTGGTATGGGTTACATTCCAGTCCGATTTTTTTTTGCTCTCAAAAATTATCGTTCCCTAGATGGGAACGATAATTATTGACAGTCTCAGAATACAGTGACAGCTTGATTCGATGATGTCAGGTTACGTAAGCTCTCTTTTGTAGGACTGGTAATTTAATTAGCTGCACCTTTATGTAGATTAAAAAGGTTGGATAGGACCGGCGCATATCGATCGGTAGGGGTACAGTATCCCTAGCACGAACCAATATCGAGTTCGTATAGTTTGCGAATCGGAAAATGTTATTGTCAAATTTTGTATGGAAACCATGGAAACTTGAACAGCGGCGCGGCGCCACAAAGGACGTAACGAGAACTAAAAATCAGTACACGTTTGTCAATGATATTTCGAAGTCGCAAACTATTCGAATTCGATATAAGTTCGTGCTAAGGGTACTGTTAAGCAGGAAATGAATTAACTACTTACGATTATTATATTCACAAAGAGCACAATGTAGATATTCTAGTAGCGAAGTCTAAAGAGGATAACTCTTATCCCTTTTTATTAGTAGCTTTACACACTACAAATAATAATCTCAGGTAATTTATTAGCCTTCTCTTTAAATTGTATAATAATATTTAGAATGTTCATGTACTATTTTGATAATGTTTTTGTAAAGCGCTACCTAGCGCCGTTCTTCTGAACTTGTTCATAATGTAATGGAGACGTCCGCCGTTGTGATAGTTCTACGTTTATCTGTAAGATGGCTCTGTAATAAAATTGACCTTGAAATTTTCAAAATTAGATTCAAATATACATAATAATATATACATACATTAGTAATTTATTTTAAAACCCGAAATAATAACATAGTTCCTATTAGGAATTAACTCATTTTCCTTAAAATACGAATTTTATAATGCTGCCATCTGTTAAGCAGCGTATAAACTACACAAGCCTCAATAACTGCTTCCCTAAGCCCTACTTTGTTAACCGCTGAAAATGCTGATCATTTCACATTGCTTCGACTACGAAGCGCTGTTCAACATTTTCAAGAACAAATCAACACTGGAAAAGCAAAAGCACTTAACCGCCACTTTAGTGCTAATTAAAATAAAATTATCAGTTTTTATTTAAGTAATTTTTTTAAGCAACACCTTGCTTGCTTTTCTACTGGTTTATTGCAGCTGCAGCCGCTCTCGAAATGTATTTCATACGAATGCTTTCAAACCAGCCGTGCTAGTTACAGTCGTTGTATTTGCAGCCTGCAGCCGAGATCGGAATAGCACCTTTATTTGGACTTCCGAATGGTCAAAGCTAGCAAAAAGCAATATTAATAATTCCTGTCTATTTAACATGAACAATGCTGCATTCATGTGTAGTGATGGCTAGATTATATAAGGCGCTAATGTTTTTTTTAAGGGAGACAATCACAAATGACAAACAAGAATATGGCCCGCGCCCGCCTAATGGTAAGCGGCAACCATAGCACAGAATATACGCGAACATAGCTTAAATAGGCTTGAGATTAGGGTTACCATCCGTCCGGATTAGTCCGGACATGGACTTTTAGGCTATAATCCGATCTTTAAATTGGCCGGACTTTTTAAATTATACTGAATATGAATGATAAAAGCACAATATTGATTTAAATACCAAACCATTGTAACTAAGTAATGGTACCATTTTGTGACAAAAAAGTCCCGACTTTTTTCGTAATTCAGGATTTTTGTCAGGACTTTTCAAATTCCTAAAGACCCTACTTGCGATACAAAAAATATCACTCGCGTGGTGGCTTACCCTAACCCAATCCCCTACCCCGTGGAGCCCTGGAACCTTACTGACAGAAACACAACACCACCTTAGGGTAGTGTTATTTCACTGTGGTCTTTGTAAGGTGGAGTTGGTCCCCACACGGGCGCTCCCATTCGAGCGGAAATTTTGCTTTCCCCTACAAAACTTTTCTAAGTGTCGTGTAGTAAAGAAAAACATGGTTCTTGGAGCATGTTTTTCACGAGTACAGAATTGAAAATTATAAATGAAGTTTCCGTTTATAATTAATTAATCCTCGAATCCCCCGTTCGGTTTATGTTTGTTTGAAGTGTGAACTCTCTGAGAGTATTTGAAGAATTTTATTTTTGAAAGCAATGTGTGTGATATCAAACATAACATACCTTAATAGATTTTTCTTTTTTATAGACCATTTTCTTTGAAAAAAAAAATAAAATTTGGAAAAAAACATCTAAAAAAATATTTAGCAATTTTCAATAAAATACGGCCTCTCTTAATTTTTTTTAAATAAGAAATATAACGAAGTCTTTAAACTCATTTAATTAACTAAATCTTGAAAGTTTTGCCCATTTTCCGAGAGACACTAATCGTTGTGGTCATAATTTCTTCAAAACTAAGTTACTTACATCGACTTTCTTAATGTTTTGGGTTCATTTAATTTAAGTTACTTAAAAGTTCTTAGATAGCTAGATAAAATGTCTACCTACTTACCATGAAGCTCAATATAAAAAAAAAAACAATATTGCCTTAACCTTTCTCGCATTCGTGAATAATGTATTTTGGCTATCTTCATAGCTTATACTTTAAAAATAATTATTTCTGCTAAGTTTCTGACCGCCATAGGTTTTCAAATACCTCGCTCTCATTTTCTATAACCAATGCAAAAAGAGCGCTTATCATATGAGAAACCTTCGGCGGTCAGAAATAACAAGATGAAATATCCCGATAGTCGGTAGGCATCAGTAAATTCAGTCTTTTACTAAGAAATCGTAAAATATACCAGAAGTCACATCATCGGACAATTCCACTGGCAATACATGCTCACTAGTGGGAAGCCCCCATGTGCTAAATAGATTTGTGACGTCACACTTTACAGACTTATGAAATCTTTGAGATTAATGGTCTACTATCATAGATTTATTATTTAATACATTAATGACAATAATATTTTAACCAATGTCAAAAATTAATAATAATCAATGAGTCGTTTTATGATTAAGACCGTTTTACGGAAATTTCATCTAAGCCGGTTCTGACCTATAAAACATACTAAATGTAGGTATTAAAATTTTGTGTTCCTACTTTTTAATGAAGATTTGTCATAGTTCCAAATAGTAATAGGATGGAATAGACAGAAAAGTAAAAAGGACTTACTACAGAGATTGGAATCTATCAGCTAAAATTACTGATTTACAAATACTTACAACAAATAACACTTTTATTTTCTAACAAAATTTATTTATTAAATAACAATCATCAATTACACAGCTTTCAAAAAATTACCAACACAAGAAAATAGGTTCTTACGCAATCTTAAAAATCTATCTCAGAAGTCGTGCTGAATATCCTAATATGGCATTATAACAAAAAAGTCCCTAATTATCCTAAAATCGAAATCTGTGCTGGGATGAGACACATAGTAGAAGTGAACCTCCACGCGGCCGTAACGCTTTTTTGTGACAGCAAAATCCTAATAACCCCCTATATAGTTTCACTTCAAAAAAATCTGTCTTAGAAGTCGTGCTGGAATTTGGCCTGCACCCCGATGTCTGGCTTCCCACGACCCAACTCCTGGGACACCATGCCGCCTGCTGATAGTTTCGTGTTCTTGTCAAAATTCCATACACCCGAGCCAGTAGCAGTCACCTGGGTAAATTGGAGAAGAGGGTAGGTGAAGATTTTTATATAAAATTGAAAGTCATATCATTACCTGTAGCATGAGCACGACAGTTAACATTATATCACGTTTTTTATCGCGCCTAACTGTTAAACTGCATAATTATTGAGTGTGATGAAACGAGAATATTTAATCACGGTGCTCTAGCGAGGGGGGCAAAAGAAGAAAAGGAATCACGTTTGTCAAATCAACTGTCTGCTAAAAAAACAAGGTGCTCATCTAGGCACTATGGTTAAACCTAGACACGAAATTTAGCATACAATCAAAATAGGTAACCAAAATTCCGTACCCAGTCTGATGTCAAATGTTAGTGGAATTCAATTACAAAGATATCTAATGACAGCGGCAGCGTATTTCTCTACGTGCCGCTCCAGCTATCCTTATCTTGCCCATCAAAACCCAAACGAATAAAATCATATTGAGCAAATACTAAGAGTTATTGCTATTTACTATGATCTCCTATACTTACGATGGGCTTTATAATTATAGCGAAACGTCCACTATGGCTATATCCTACCTCTTGAATCATTTCGTTCTAGTATGCTATATGCTACAGACAACATCAACACATCGGAAAGCACTATCAGGAATAACTGCACTCGTCACTAGATTAAAAATTTACCTAATCATAAAAGTTTTTTCACATCCCGGAGTGCTGTGGTTAGATAATGAGTACTTAATCTTCGATCAACAATACCGAGCAGTAGATAAATTGTTTATGATGCCAGCCCATCTCTTTCTAATAGTTTCATGATAACGACGGCAGCATTATTATTTATTTTCCCATTACTATTCGAATACATGAATGAGGAATTGGGATTGATCCCAATTGTTCAGTTTCTTAGGTTAAACTTACGCTAGTTCTACCGCCGATCGGCTTGTTCACATCCAGGGCAGCTTGCGAGTTCTTGTCGCTAAAGTCCAGGCGGCCACCGAAGCTGCTCGTATCTCCATTTGGCCCTATAACCCTGGATCCGTAAGCCTGTCCTTGCAGCTTGCCACGGTCGTCGTTGAAGATTTCCTGCTTGTAACCGCCTTTACCCTACGATTACAGAAAAAAATGTAGTTGACGATGGGATTCTTATTTCAAGGCAATTGTGGCAGTTTCAACATCAGAAGTGTCGCTCAAGATTTGCCTAATATTATTATTTTAATATACAACCAATATCAAATGGGCTATAGGGCCAACTAAGTTTGTGTGGAATCGGAGCAACGTCCTTGCTCAGGATAGGATAATTAATCCCAAACAGGTGTAAATATTCAATTAATTAGGTAATAAAAAGGTACAACATACGAAAACTCCAGAGTCGTCATTTCCCAATGTTCCAAAAACTTTGCCATTTCCCACTTGCTTGTCCCAAGTAATGTCCCTCTGGTGACGGCTTGCCTGCCTCGCAATCTTGTAGTACTCAGGGTACCTGTAAAATAATTAACTATTAATGAAACGAAGTCCTTTGTGAATACCACACAGAACTTCAGATGATTCAATGGAATATTAATAAACGGATAGCGATAGGATAAGATGATATAGAGGTGCTCGATGGTACAAGTAGTTAGCGACTTTGATCTACGATCGTGGAAGTTAGACAACTTTTGCAATGGCTGGTCATCGGACGAGTGACCAAAAACTTATTATCTCGAGCCCTTGGTCCAGAATGCAACTTCAGTCGTTAGCTGCAGCCAGCAATCCACACTGAGCCCGTGGTGGGCCAATCTTTATATTCCATCCACAGGGAAGGCCAACACCTCAGCAGTGGGAGCAGGCTGATGATGACAAATAATAAAAATATCTACCTTTCGGCATAATCAGGAGGCATGGAAACTTGCGCGTACGCACAAGCGAACACTGCAAAAGCGATGACCACTTTGAACTGCATATTGGCCTGAAGATAAAAGAAAATGGTTATAGTAATGTGTTGATCCATAAGTAGTAAGGTTAATATATTCATCAAACCCATAAATGTTGATAAACGAAGTGCGGTTTTAACAGAGAACAATTATCCCAAAATATCAAATTGGTCTAACTAACCAGGAATTTTGAATTGTTTAGTTATAGATTTCTAATTGATTTAAAAATTTCACTTGTAGTTAGGTTCCTAAACTTAAAGCGATGTTAAAGTTCGTTTCTTTCTTACTGAAAAAAATACGACTTTTTCAATCGATACTTAATGGGCTACTAAGTATTATGTTAATAATATTCAACAGTATTAAAGAATTACCTGGTTTTCCTTGAGTGCTCCTCGAGAGATAGTCCAGAACTGTATTAAAGAGTGTTCTCTTATTGAATTTATATAATTCTGCATCAAAGCTTTGGTAAAGTCCCTAGTACGGTGCTAGCATACCATTTTAAGCTAAGCTACGCATCGCGATCTAAGCATTTTATTTTTAAGGAAAGCCAAAACTATATTTTACGTACGTACTAAGTTTGATTTATGTACCAGTAATTTGGCGTACCAATATAAAATTAAGGCGGAATTGTGTTTAAAATATGTATTTATAAATGTCGAGTAGGGTTTCTCGGGTTAGAATTCTCTAGAATTCTATATAATCAATAAAATGTCGACGTACATTTCTTACATAATTTTAATTTCAAATTACTGTTTAAGATCTGAAAAGGATTTGTTTTTAAATGTTGAAGAAATCGCTTTTATCGATAAGACCGCCCATTGAATCACTATGTTTAAACATAGTATGTATATAACAATGTATTTATCCCATTTTTATACTGTAATATGGTGTTTTCAATAAGGAATTGTGTATTGTATTGTATTGTTTCACAACCATGCGCTTTAATAGGTCGCTGTATATTGATAATATTTTTAAATTTTTATTTAAGTTTTGCAGTCGGTTTTATCTTTGTTTAGTATTCATTTAAAGTAAATTTTTAATCAGTCGGGTATTGGTGTTTTAATTTACTTTTCATTTTGTAGCACAGCTAACATTGGAGTGCAGCATAATCATACTTATTATGATCGATCATTGCCGCTAGTTCAGACGGGGCATAGGGATTTTTTTCGTGGTACTGCGAAGTTGTACCTACATAAATCATATATCAAAAGTTTTGTGGGAGCCCAGTTATTTTCCTTGTAAAGTATTAAGTAGGTACTTATTGTATTTCTGTTTTAACAGATTGTAGAAATTCGCATCAATTTCGATGTAAGTCTCATCAATCTTATTATTTTCGTTATGAATTTTGTTATTAACGACTTTAATAAAAGCTAGTTTATTTATTTTGTCACAATCAAAATTATATTAGTGGTTAAAGGAACTTACCAGAAAGTGAACTTTAATCAAAATTATACATAACTAGGTAGTTTTTTGTGACGAAGGCTCACTACAAGGTTAACTGAATGTCGAGGGCATTGAACTTGAACTGAAGTGTAATCATAATCTTTATTGCTTCATGTTGGTACATAAGTTTCTTTAAATTAAAATGAGACATCACAACATGAGCCCTACAAGGGCAGGCATTACAAATTTTACTGTTTCTTAATTACTAACAAACATACTTACTCAATTACTAACATCATCTATTTTTGTGAAGCATTGTATTTACAATAAACCTTTTTTGTTTTATATTGGTAAGTAATATTTCTTTTAATAGCGCGATTCATATTTTCCATCAAATAATACATGGAGCCAAAACATGAACCCCGAAGGGGCATAACAAAACAAAATTACACAACAACAAGTACAACAACTCTTACGCTTTCTAAGTCTTTCCTAAAACAAATAGGTATTATATTTACGACAATACGACAAACAACTCAAAAATTCAACTATTATAAAACTTTTGAAGGGATTACATTACTTTTGCATAATTTAGAATAGAATAAAGTTTTTTTTTTAATGTTCCTTAGATGAATGAGCAATTTATTATACAAAAACATTGACATATAATTGGCACCGGTTGTTATTAATTCTAATTTCTTACTAATATAATGAGTTGAGTAGAACTTGGAGGCTTTAGTTTTTTGTACAGCTTCTGTTTTAAAAGCTGCGGCTGCTACGCTTGATGATGACCAGAGGCTAGGGTTACCAGATAGCCGGGATTTCCGGGATTGTCTGGGAAATTTGCGCACTGTCCCGTGTCCAGTAGTTAGTAATGTCCCGGATTCCGGTAAGTAATGTGCTAGTTTCGTAACAAAATAAACTAATAACGAATGACCCCTGCCTGATATTTTAATTCTGGGCAAAAGGGGCAAATGTCCCGGAATTGATAAGCCAGCATCTGGCAAACACCTGCTTGCTGTTTTAATTCTGGTGGGTGATGGGGGGTTTGATTTGATGCTTTATTTTTTCAGGGGGGGAGGATGCAAATGTATTTGGGATGCAAAATTAAACGTATGTTCTTCCCCGGGACTCAAACTATCTCTATACCAAATTTCATCTAAATCGGTTCAGTGGTTTAATCGTGAAGAAGTAACAGACAGAAGGACAGGCAGACAGTTACACTTTCGCATTTATAATATCAGTATGGATGGGTTAATTGAATGTATCTACCTACTCCTTGGGTAAGTACTTCCTGCCTTTCTCTCGTCTACCTATTATGTTATGATGACGCAATCCATTAAACGAACAAGTGTTATAGAAGTAAATCCCCCATTCTGAAAATTCTTATAGTTATCGAACTAAATTCCTACGTACAAAATCTGTTATGCAGTTAAAGGAATATTTGTGTACCTATGTGTATACTTAGTCATTTGTAGTGCTATCAGTTAGGTAAAACGATTCTCTTTGTTTACATAAAGGTTTTCTCCTGTCTAAATATTTGTGTCGCTGCACCATGTAGTGCATTTGCCTTCGCAAAACAAACAGGCTCCATGCGGAGAGCGAACTTAGAATCTGGAGCATGGATTTTCCATATCTGAGAGCCGACTTCGCATTTGCTCTCGTCAATTTCGGAGATGAATATTTCATTTGAATATCCTGCTAATAACGCTTTAACTGAATGGTAAGATATTAACCATTGCGTTCTGCTTTCATAGTTACTACCTAATTCATTATTATTCATCAACGATATATAATAGCCCTAGATACACCACGGGCGCTTAAAATGTGGTCCAATTAGGAAGTGCTTGAACAATGAATGAACACAACTCACGTCAAGCACTTCTTAGTCTCTCTTCTTGTTTTCATGCAACACAACAGTGTCACTTTATTTGTTAGGTATCTAATCAATGTTTGTTAATTTAACGCATTTGAAACAAATTTTGTTCTTATACTTACTACACGAGAAAATATTTGTGATATTCAAATGCATGGTCGGCGGTTGTATAGCCGTCTCCTTTTCTCGCGCTCTGTACCTGCATTGCTAACAGCGCATTTAGCATTACGATATAGAGTCATAGAAATAAAGTGTATTTTCTTCCGCCTATAGCAACAAACCTTAAAATTTTACAAGCTTGCATTTCGAACTGTCATAACCTTCGATTAAAACAATTGTTTGCCGAAGATTATTTAATATGCATTAATGATGACTTTGAATATTCAAATAATGTATTATATTGTTTTTGACTACGCCATCATGGACTCAATGTACCTTTTGGACAGGTTTCGGCCACGATTTTGTTGTTGATGTTGTATGTAGGGTATTAAATATAGTTGTTTTTCATACGTACTTTTAGCAAAAGCCAAAAACTGAACAAGCATAGGTATAAAAACTAAGATATTAATAGATCATCATCATCCCACTCCACCCGATGTTAAATGTAAGTGGAATCCAGTACAGTCCAGTAGGTACGTACGTACGTACCTACTGGACTGTACTGGACTGGTACGTACGTCTATGTGGCAAAAAAAATGCCTCTACAGCGATCTGCCGTCCTCACTTTACAGTACGGTACTGGCGTGATGGCGTAAGCAGTGATGTAAAATGAAAAAAAGAAACATGTTGAAAAAAAAACATGAAAAAAACAACTTAAACCGAACGGGGAAATCCTCGAATTTTACGTGGTGCGTGAGTTGAAAGCTTGGTTGGTAATTTAATATTTAAATAAACACGAAAATATGGTTAGTAAATCAAGATTCAAAACTGCGCTGGTAATAAGTTTTTGCTCAATGTAATATTTATTTTTAGCTAGGGACCGTTAAAACTAGAAATGCTAAAGTGTAAACTTGCGGCACATCTATATTATATAACTTTTACAAGCACAAGGGAAAAAACTCCACTTTAAATAATTTTGAATTCTGTAAAAAGAAGAATCTTGTGAAAAGAACATACTCCAAAAAATTCTTGTTTTATTTCAACGCTTTTTTGAGGAAAGAAAAAATACAGATTTTTTGCAATGACACATGAAACAGTAGACTCGAACCTTACCTACTCACCACTAAACAAAAAAAACAAGTGCTCTTTCACTATGATCGACTGTAAGTGAAGTTTACTTCCATCCTTTCTTTATGTCGGTCGCTCCCATGTCATCGAAGAATTTACTATGCACCTAAATGAGATTCTTCTTCCTCCCATAGCTATTTACAGCATGCACTACCTCTCTCTAAATCTGTGTTACCTCTAGATACATATTAGATATATAGGTAGATACTACATGAACATTATTCACGTGTGTGTAGTTATAACCTAAATCCATGCATTTTGGAAATGGGCGCGTACCGGACATGTAACATGCCTCAATCACAGAACACTCTCGGGGGGGTTGTATTTACTCTGTATACATATGAATTTGAGCGTTTCCATTGATACCACGTAAGCGGGCTTTGGTAAAGTTGATATTCATGCCTGCGTAAGATCAAAACGACGTTAACGACGACCGCACTTACCATAAACATACCTACAAGACGAAAAATGTATATGGTAGCATTTCAACCAATGGTTCGCCTGATGGTACGGGGCCATCATAGCATCATAGCGAGCCTGATGGTACGGGGCCATCATAGCATCGTAGCGTAGCCTGATGGTACGGGGCCATCTTGGCCATCATACGCATGCGTAAAGGGTTGCTATATGGTCGGGAATCGCCTTGTTTCTCCCGAAATTTCATGACATATTCAGACTCCCGACCAATAACGAAATCTTCCGACAAATGAACATGACTATTCGTGCAAATCGTAACTGGCCCGGAGTGCCAGATTTTAGAACCTTCGTTAGGGTCCTCATCATCATCATCATCATCAGCCTATTAATGTCCCCACTGTTGGGGCTCAGGCCTTCCCTATGGATGGAATAGGGAGATTGGGCCATGACCCACCACGCGGGCCCAGTGCGGATTGGTGAGTGCTAACGACTGCAGATGCAGCCGGGACCAACGGCTTAACGTGCCTTCCGAAGCACGGAGGAGCTCGAGATAGTAAATTTTTGGTCA